TCCAAGAGAAGAGATTTGGTTGAGGAATTTGATCAAACACTTTCTGGGCATAATCGAGACTACAGAAATGCGATAGAGCAGAGGCTTCGATTAACTTGCTAGCTGAAAATGGGTCGAAGAAGAGCTCAACTCGGAGCATGCGGGCATGAATTTGTTTGAGCTGCTTGATGCTGTGACATTTATTAATGAGTAAGACCAGTGGATGATTTGCCAAGTAACGGTCGTTGGTGACCGTTATCGAATTTGGGTTCGGTTTTGGAAAGTGTTGGTGACGTGGAAGGGGAAAGACTTGGGTGTATGGAGTCGCCATAACTTCGTCGTCACTTCTTTTGGCTCCTAAAATATTTTTTACGTATCTATTTTCTTCCTTGTTAAAATAAAAATAAAGATATTAGCACATGCGGATGTTATAGCTCATAGGCACCTATAACTGATGTTATAACGGATGTTCCCCTGCTTATCTCTCTCCCTCGCATTCCATTCATGACCTAACAACTATCCCTCTTTCGGGGAGGGAATCACTTGCTGGATCGAACCCAAGAATAGGTTTGATCGGTCGGGTGTCGGATCAAATGAACTCTTTGATTGCTTTTTATGAAGTCGCACCGGGAGCTAGTGCTTGCAATCTAAGAATTGTTCCATGGATCTCATCGGAAATGTTTGATGCTTCTTGGGGCTTCTTTGGCGACCGTGAAGTCACCGGATGAATTGACGAGTAAATAGATCAGATTCGGACGCGGCTGTTGCTCCGCGGCGATACGGACTTGAATGGGCTGGGGCTCCCGAGATACATATGGCCGGCCCTTCGGGTGTCTTGGTGATACAAACAAAGAAAAGACGATGGTTTTTCATATACCCTTGACACTTTTCTTTTCTTCACTTGTAAATCATACTCTAAAATTTATAAGACGTTACGTATTGAATAAAAAGTAACGTAGATAATTTAGATTAATTGCGAATTTTACTTTAAGGAAACTTAAACGTTAATAAGCTTCCCATTAATATAGGGAGCATCGCGTTCAAACTTCAAAGAAACAAGCCAATAATTGAGAGGTTAAATTGGGACTATAATATCACAAGTTCACAAGTTGCATCGCCTGCTGCCAAATTTATCCTTTCTACTCTTCCAAAATTATTGAAAATGGCAAAATGGAGATGTCTACATTCTAAATATACTTCTATTCTTAAAATCATTAACGTCACCGAAGTGATGATATTCTTTTACGAAGCTTGCCGCTTTAGTGTTGTGGTTGTGGAAAACTTGTTAACGCCTATGTTCTTCTTCTCATTTGCGAGAGATAGAGACAACTTAATTTGTGAAAAAACATAAGAAAATGGAAAATTCTGGAAACACTACCAGTGTCCCATGTTATAAGTTGATAATGCTCAAGTTAGGTCTCGTTCTACTGGATAATAAATGCTAGAGTATAATAATCCTACTTTGACCACTGATTATTTTATCCTACGAGACTAGGACAAGGGAGATTATTTGAGAGTTCTTTCATAAGGATAATGCTTTAAACACAAAATAAGGTAAAAGTTGACCAAACTTAAATAAGATAAAGTGGAAGAAATTGTCAAATCTTGAACTATGTAATACGTCATCACTCTATTGATGAACTATACCACTTTGGCTGCAAACTGGCTCCATTTTCTATCAATCAATAAAACTCACATGGAAATGTACAGAAGGCAACAATTCTGGGGAGAGAATTCCTACTGACGTGTTAAACTTTGTCAAAATGAATGTTAAACACATGTAGGAAATTCTTGGCCCAGCATCAATCCCAAGGCTCTCGAAGCTGCAAATCTGGCATTTAGGTACAAATAGTTGTGGCAAACGGGCGGGTCGGGTTGGATATGGTTTGGGTCGAAAACGGATAAAGAAAAAACGGATAAATTATCCGGGACCGACTTATATTTAATACGGATTAAAAATGGGTTAACCGACGGATAATATGAGTAACCATATTATCTATGATTTTTTGAATATGAACATTTTTGGGAGAATTCCTAGTCTGCCAAACGTGAGGAACCCCCAATTTGAAGCTTTACAAATGTAAAAGTTAAACTCAGTAGTTATCCATTGATTACCCATTGGTTATCCATTTTCTAAATGAATAATATGGTCTTTATCCATATTTGACCCATTTTTAAAAAATTTATTATTCAACCTAGTTTTTAGTGGATAATATGGGTGATTAAATGTGTTCTTTTAACCATTTTGCCACCCCTAGGTACAAACCAATACATAGAAGAAATACCATTTTCAATCGGCAACCTCTGCTTGAGTAATCTGAAAACCCAAAACTTATACAGGAGCTGGACTTGAATCTATGCGCCGCTCAATTACCTAAGAAAGTAAGAATTTAAAAGGCTTTAGAGTTAATATTCCCATCTTCTACTTGAGGCTCTTACTTGGTTTATCTTTTGCTGCAGTTAACTAGGAAGGGAAGGGAAAGAGCACTTTTCCTCGTCTCTTTAGGCAATGTTCTTCCAGTGACGGTTAACAGGAACCCAAAAATCCCACCACTCGACATTCAGGTAATTTTGAATTCACATACGAAGGTACCCTCCGTCGAGATTGAACATTTATTGCACTATTACAAACACTGGCAGAGAGGAGCTTTCAAAAGTTTCATGGCCGAATTCCAAGCTGTAAGGATGGTCTCAAACAACAATCCTATCAAGGTACCAACTGCTTAATTATCTCCAATATAGATTGTCTGTGCAAGGACTTCATGCCAAATGGGAGTTGGACAGTTGGGCGCACCCATAGGAGGGTCATATCAATCAATCAACCAAGTATATTGTTTGCAACGAATTATTTGTGATACAAAAATAAATTCAAGAAACATAATTTTATTGATAAATGATGCGGGTACAATTCTGTTTATCCCTTGATTCTTCTCTCCGATTTGTTATCCGTAATTTGAGGGTCTTAGCAGCATATTTCTCGAACGTAGAATGATATGCATCTCCTTGATGTATTTGATGATCAAAAAGCATGTAGCAGCACTCCATTTGGATCTTGAATGTTGCTAGAACTTTAAGCAAGACATTTGACATGTCTTCGATTCTTAACGAATATTCCAAGAGTTTTTATGGAATTTCGGAGATCGTATATTTGATCTCTTTGTGCATATTCCGAGAGTTTATGAAATTATTGAGATGATCTCAATTTTCGAGATATTTTTTAAGAGAATATGTTAACCCTTTTTATAGGAGTGGCTTAGGGTTAGAATAGCCTCAAAGTTAGGGTATTGGTAGAGTAGCCTCCAAGCAATCCGAATACACTCCTAGAATTCCAACTCCTAAAATTTCGATGTCTACGTATACCTTAATGCCAACTTACTATGGATCGGTAATGTCCTCTACACATAGAAGGGTCAAATGCTATTGACAAAATTCAGAACAGAATAATCACAATCATCTTGGCTTTAATTGTGAATTACCTTCACCACTTTGATCATCACCGTGATCTATAAGCCAAGCAATTTCTTTTTGCCAGGGACTCCATTGCCCATTTACATGACTTTGGTCTGGCAAGAACCTCTCAGGATCAGAATGGAGAAACTCTTCGAGTCAGTTCAGCTCGATTTTAGAGGAACCACAGGACATCTCCAGGTACACAACCAAGTACAATACAGATGGTTCCCGAAAAAACAACATATGCCTTTACTGTCAATAAGCCTGCAGTGTAGCTCTAACTTAATAAGGAAAAAATAAAGAAAGAAAAAGAGCTCAACATTTTCTTCTTTCAACGAGTTATCTAAATCTTACGTCCAAATTCAGCAGTTCATTCAGTTGTATGAAATCTAGTGATGGTTTTCCAAATCTCCAGAGTACGGAATAGGTGCTGAGGAATAAACATAAGGGATGTGTAACAGTGAAATCATTTTTACTGGATATGTTTACAGGGGCAGCACCAGCTGTTTGACCAGTTAAGATGATTTGATCCTCAAAACATAATGGCATTCCCAGATCAGGGGCTGCAAATCAAGGACCAATCTACGCTATTCAAAGAATGCATGAACTGCACGCCAGAGAGTTCCAGTACCAACAGCCAGAATTGAAATGACAATTTTCAGTTTTGGGCAATTTTTGGAGTAAATTTGTTGGATGTCTTTTTAATAAGTTTTCCAAAGAACAAATTTGTATTTTGATAGATGTCTTTTAGAAGTTCTGTTCTGAACAGAAGTCTGAAGGTTGTTTTAAAGGCCAAAGACTTTTGTTTTGTTATTCAAAACTTTTCTAAAAACAGGGGAAAAGAACAGTTAAAAAGTTTCTGGTCTAAACGGGATAACTACACTAGATATTGGAGTCTTTATGGAACAATTGCCAAGGGATAGAACGGATGTTACACGTGTAGAACTGGGAATACAAGCTATAAGAGAAAAGTTTCTCAGACCTGGAAGAAGTTGTAACAGTCAGGCCGCAGCCATACCAATGAAGATTGAAGAAAGAATAGAGCCTGAATCTACAGATCTTTTGCTTCACATGAAAGTAATTGATGAATCACTTTGCTCTTCGTTTTAATATCATCATTTCCTTCTCTGATAGAGCAGTGGTCTGCAAGTTTCCCTTTTTCAATGGCAACTTTAGTTTATGTGACCACACACTTCATAAGGATAGCTTAGAAACAGAAACCCACAGTCATGAAGGTACTTTTTCATCTACTATTGAAATGAACTACCTTTCAGATTAACCAACGGGTCGCACTGAAGCAAACTTCCAAAGTTTCACATTTTCATGCATCATACATGAGCAATTAGCATTCATTTCAAGTCATCCAACAAATCCTAACAGAGGAAAGACGAACCTTAGGAATGAAAATCCATTAACCTAATCAATCAACTACACCTCAATCCACAGACATAGTTGTGGTCGGCTCTATGAATCCTCTGTATATATTTAAGCTCTATTCGAGTTTGCTATATCCAAATTACCAATGAAATTAAGAAACTTTGGTAAGAAAATCAATTGATTAATCCTACAGATGCGAAAAGAAAACGTTTTCAGGGAACATAAACTTTCATACAACGAAACAAAATCTTCAAATGCTAAAGAGTCTGCAAAATACAACATGAAAAAAGAGAAATAGAAAAAACAGTTCAAACGATTATAGGACATGCACCTCACATATATAACTACGGCCTGCTATCATAATCAACAACCTCGGAATCGGTAACAGACCGCGAGTGCTGAACAATCGATCGGCCAATGGAATTAATCCATTCCTCTTTCTCCTTCTCAGAATCGGCGATGAAGTACATAGTATCACGACTAGTGGAGAGCTCAAAGGCAAAAGGCTTATTGATTACATCTTCAGCGCCTTTAACAGTGAGGCACTCGGCAACTGAAACCACTCCACGCGGAATGGCGGCGCGTGTGACGGACGAAGGGTCTTTGAACCAGAGAAGCTTGCCTTGTTTAAGAATGAACCATCGACGGCGCCAGGTCCTGATGTATTCGCCTTGCTTCGTGAGCCACCCGGTTCGCTCAGGGTTTGACCAGAATTCGATTTCCTCGTAATCTGAGGGATTAGGGTTCGCGCCGGTCACTGATCGAAATAGACTCTCCATTTTTAGCTGGTTCTTGGGCTTCGAATTGGACAAAAGTCTGTGATTGATCCCTTTATTTATCGCCGGCGACACGACGGAGCAGAAATCACTGTTTGCTTCGCTGTCACTGATAATAATTAGATTGTTTTCATTATTTATTCAGCGAACCTGCTGTCCCTATTTGTATACCACTGTTTTCTTTTTATTCGGTCCTAAGAAATTTGACATTTTAAGTACTAGTAAATATTTACATTCTCTTTTGGCTTTACTGAGATGGTCTCTCGGATTCTAGACAGGGGTATCCATAGTTCGGTTCGCTAGGTTATTTTATAAATTTAGTATCATATTAATTTTTCGATTATTTTATTATGTATAATTAAAATTAAATTTTTCAAAATCGAACCAATAATATCGGTATCGGTACGGTTCGGTTAATTTTTGATATTTTTCTAAATATCATGTAAAAGTAGTAGAAGTATAATGCAATAACATAGGTACTTTTATAGGATTTAGCAAAACTCTCTTTATATTTTTACTATTTAAAGGATGATGGATTAAGAACATGAAAGATGGTTAGAGTATATATTCATTAACTATTTTATAATAGCATAAAAGATACTAAGCAAAGACAAAAAAAATATAAATCACACAAGTGGAAAGATATTAACCAAGTTGGGACTCAAGAATAAAGTCTAGAGAAGATTAAATTCAAAAAGATAATCTAAATCATACGAAATAAAACGTATTCAATACATTGTACTTTGTTACTCATAATCGCTAGAATACTTCTGTCTTGCTAGTAAATATGCTGGAAATAGTTTAGTTTTAACATGAGTAGCTAATAGGTTGGAAATTAGGATTTTGATTTTAATTACTTTTTGACTTGTAATTGTGTTCATAATTCCAAGTCCCACGGAAAAATTTAAAGCTTTATTATTTTTAAACTTATATATAAATATATTTTTTACATGTAAATTTATTCGGTACGGTTTGATATTTTTTCGATTTATTTTCATAAAATAAAAAGCTTATTCTAATTATCGGTAGGTTAGAGAAATATATAAAAATCTATGATTTATTAAAAGAAACCTAAAAATTGATTCGGTACGGTACGGTTCGATCGTTTTAGTCGATTTTTAAATATTCATTGAAACCCGTAGTTTTAGGGGTTGACATTGTTTGTTTAGACCCCAATCTAAAGATGCTTTTGGTGTTTTATAGTACATATACATTAAAATATGTCAAAAGTTCCATTTTTTTTTTTTTTTGGTTTAATACGTTGCGCTCTCAACTTGTACCAAAAGCCTTTCAACACATCTTTATTTTAAGGGAAAACTTATACATACCAAAGATTTTTCCAATCTTCTCTAATACACACTGCTTTTGTGAATGACAAGCAGTAAGGACAGTCTCAAGCTGCATCTTGTTTTAAACACGATTCGGAAAAAAGAAAGTGGTGTATAAAGATTTTAATTGTGAAGTAAGGGTGTGTCAAATGAATTTCGGTAATTTCGAAGATCAAAATATGTATTAAGCCTTTCTTAAATTACATGTCCTACTCCTATCAACAAGATCCACATAAAATTAGGACAATTGTTAAAACTTAAATCCACGTCTTAATCGGTTAAAACTTACATCCGCGTCTTACATTTTTGTACAATACCTCGCTATGACAAATCAAATGTTTTAGTTTAACTATACACAATTTTTAGAAGAAATGAAAATTGGAATATTTGTATAGTATCTTTTGGTAGAACATATCGGGTTTTTATTTTAACTTTTTTATATAAAACGATACACGGAAAAAATTGTATCTGGAAAAGTAAAAGTGCTCCATAAAATTTTTAATGGAATATATATATATATATATATATATATATATATATTGACAACTCCACTTCTAACAAAGATGGAATTTTGTGGCTAGTGTTATAAGAAAAATCAAATTATGGTGGATGTCTACTCTTCCTCCATGATCTTCTCAAATACTTAATGACATATTCAATGACATATTTCTATGCTTAATGACATATTCAATGACATATTTTTCTTCACTTTTTATGCCTATATAAAGGCCTTATAATAGATAGAAAAATACACACAATTGAATAAGAAATACTCTTCCTTCTCTCTATCTATATTTCTTGTTCATGTTTTACTAAATTGCTTTTATTTCATAACTTGTTCTTGTTCTTGTTCATGTTTTACTAAATTGCTTTTATTTCATAACACGTTATCAGTACGACTGTGCTCCCATTTTCGTACACCTCCATATAGGCATAGACTGTGCTTTGTGTTTGCTATCCTTATACCAACAATTATGTGGCTATCAAACAAAATAAAGATAGAAGCCAATGGGCTGGATACTAATACAAGATAAGTTTTCATCTTTCTAGCTTATTCATATTTTTATTTTTATCTTCCACTAATCTCAAATTTTTTCTATTTTGCCATGATAACTCACAATAAGCTTTCAGTATTTTATTTCCATTTTGTTATAGCTTGAAAGTGTGCGAGCCCTGCATTGGTAAGTATAGTTTTTGCTTATTCTTTCTTGACGTCTGATATGAATTTTTAGTTATCGTTTGACTATCCTTCAAGGGATCTATTCATAAACCAAATCAAAATGCATGAATATATATTTTGTAATTAAGTTTTGAAACAGGTACTCTCTACTCAATTCTTTAACTTATATTTAACGTGCTGAATAGTGCTTACATATATGTGCGCAGATATCAGACAACCAATGTGCCCTTTACTCTTTTCACGCTAAGATGAATGTTACTATGGTAATATTTAATGAATAGGACTAAATCGGTACTATTCCTGCATAGTTGGTTAAATGCATACATAAATAAACATAATATTGTGGCAGGATAGTTGTAAGCATAATAGATATTCTGATTTACAGTTAATCTTAGCCTTTTACTATTATCTATAATCCATATATTATGATATGAATTGGATCGCATATGTAGATACTGGAAGTACTACAGGAATTATATATATGCTTCCAAGTCCTAGTCTTTATTCTTACTTTATTGATTTGGTTTATCATTTACAAAATTGGTAAGTGTTCTAGCAGATTATCTAGTATTAATTTAAATGCACTTCTATTTGAATTCACGTAAATCTAAAAGTGATAACACTTAGAAGAAATAAAACGTTTTCGCCCTACAACCTTAAAAAGTGGTTATATTTTTAAATCTTATTATAACTAATTTTGTTTATGTTTCTGACCACAAGATTGATAATTTAATCTTGTACTTTGGCCTATTATGCAACTAGTGAAGACATATTTAAGTTCTGGTGCACTATAATGATAAGAGTTGGGTTCGAGTCTCAACACATTTTGCCTAACATGCCTTTATATGGGTAAGGCATTGGATTTAAGTCACAATGCATAGTATCAATGAAAGAATCATGAATCCGCCTTGCTTGATATGCTTCATTCAGTGAAGCGAATGTGGCAACAATATATGATAAGTTTGAAAGACGACAAAATAATTTTTCATGACTGTATGAATGTACGAAGAGATGGCAAGGGACGAAATAATAATTTGTCTTCATTATGGTAACTATAAAAGGAAAACAATAAGGGTTCTCGATGTAATCCTTCAAAAAGGTGAAGGAAATATTTACCATCAAAATGGTATGAAAAATTTATAAAGCATGTCACAATAATTATACTCTATTTTTTTTTAAGAGAATGTGACTTATAATAAGCATTGAGAATGTAGACTCATTCCTGAAGATGAATGTAGCAGTATGTAATAAAAGTAATGAATAAAGACATGCAATGCATGATTGGATACATACCACAACTCACCTCTAAGGGAGGTTTGAGACAAAAAAAGATAATGAATATATCATTGGTCGCATACATGTGATACGCCAAAAATATTTTGTCATGCCTTATGAAAGTTATTAAAAGCAAAATTAAAGCAAGAAATTATTTTGCTTATGATAATTTTGAACATGACAATTATTATGATATGATTCTCTTTGTGAAGGAGACATTCATTATATGGATGGTGTGACAAAAGATCTTGTAGTACAAAATCAGTTAAAAGCTCTGAAAGAACTAATTTATTACTACCAGGATGAATCAAATTGTTCATAACATTAATATTGTAGTAAGTCTCAAAAGAAATATTTTGATTTATAAATATATTAGCCAAAGTGGTTGGCATATTGAGACTATAAATGAAAAGAAGATTGAATAGCTTTATATTACTATAATCATACCGGGTAAATATGAAAGGTTACCTGCCTTTTCTTCTATTTGTACTACACAAGTATAATCATGATGATGCAATCACAAGCCACAAGTAAACTAGAGGTTTACTGAAATAAATATTAGTTGGCATGACCGGTTGACCATCTCGGTTCAATTATGATGCGAAAAATTAATTAAAAATTATATTGGCATATATTGAAGAAATATAAGATTCTTCAACAATTGTGCTGCTTATTCTCATGATATACCAGTTAAGGTTGGGATTGAATCCCTTAATTTCTGGAACGAATAAAAGGTGATAAATATATGGGCCCAGTCACCTTCCATGTGGACCGTTTACTATTATATGATTTTAATAGATGCATCTATTCCATGGTAATATGTACATTTGTTATCAACTTGCAGTTTGGCTTTTGCAAGATTGATTGCTCAAATTATTAGAGCACAGTTCCAGAATATAAATTATGATGATTTATCTTGATAATACTGGTTTAAATCCAAGTTGGTTTAGCAGAAATTGTATGCCTCCAATTATATCTAAACCATTGGTTATGAGAACAAAATTGCCAAAATAAAATTTGGTATGTGATGTATTATTTAATATACAACAGCACTTGTACGCATCTAGCCAAGTTATGATAAGTTCTCCCTATCACAATCGGTTCAGGGTCAGGAACCAAATAATTTCCATCTAGAAATATGAATGTGCTATATGATTTAATTGTTCCACCACAATGCACAAAGATAGATCCCCAAACAAGGCTAGGGATATGTGTTGGTGATCCCAAGAATAGGGGAGAAAATGGGCAGCTGAAAAAGTAATGCATGTAATGAATTATTATGAGTACATCGAGATCCTCGTACGAGAAAATGTGAACTTGAAGTTCAAGTGATAATTCATTTGCAAAATATTGCCAGGCGTATTTGCTGACCCAAAGCTAAA